ATCACACACCAGGCATTTCCTAACCCACCCTGTGCTGCTGTAAACACCCTCACAGATAGCTCCAAACCCTGGAATGGTGAGGAGGGGGCAACAGGAGTGTGCCGACGGGGCTCACATGCAGATCCACCCTTGCCTGGGAAAGGGGTCCTGGGGGAGCCCAGAAATGAAACGGGAGCAAACTGCGAACCAGCAGCCCTAACAAGACTTGACATGGGAAAAATAAGCAAACAGTAATAATACATGTGGAATAATACACTCCTCCCCATTCATATCTCTGGAGATGGGGATCACGGGAGACTTTCGCTTTCCATGACATCAAAACCAAAACATTATAAAAACATACAGACACACGGCTATATTGGTAATTACCAAAAAAAAAAAAAAAATTACTATTTCTTTTAAAATCCTGGCTGGGGAGGGCCAGGTCTTCCTTAACCAAAAGCCGAGGTGACAGGTAGATGCAGGGAGGCCTCGGGCAGAGAACAAAGGACCGTGACCTGGGATTCTAGGATCTGGTTCCAGTCCCACATCCCTCCTTCCTTCCTGAACTCTTGGGCAAGCTGCTTCCTCCCTCTGAACCTCAGTTTCCACATCTGTAAATAAGGGACAAAGGCCACTGCCTGAGTTTCCTCAAATGGCCAGAGGAAATCATTGATAAGGGTGTGTTTTATAAATTATAAAGTAGTCCATCCAATGCCGCTCAGGTTATGGAACACGTCCTGGGACATACTCTGCTAAGTGCCTTCCCTCTATCAACATATTTAATCTTCAAAATACCCTACAGGGAGGTAAGGTGCTAAAATTATTGCCTTTTTACAGCTAAGGAAACTGAGGCTCAGAGAGGTAGGGTGACTGGCCAACAGTCCCTCACTGAACACATGACAGCGAGGCCTCAAACCCAGGTCTGACTATGAAGTCTGGGTCCTTAACCAGTGCACTCTCCTGCCTTTGGGAACTGGTTTCCAAAGTGCAGGCCAAGGAACCCTGGTCCCCAATGGTGTCCACGTGATCAAATAAGCATGGGGACACACAACATGCTGGCTCCCCCTCCGAGCCTCCTCAAGCTCACTCCGATGCAGTCAAGGCTGAGAAGTCCTGCAGCAGGGACAACTTGTTTCCCAGGGTTATCCAACCACTGTGACCACAGAAACTGGTATTCCACGGAACACACCTTGGGAAATGTGGTCAGGTCAGACTGACAAGATCTGCGCTGAGAGAGCAAAGAACAGAGGTGCACAATGAAACCTAACATTGGCATTCGAAGTCCAGCAGCCACATCCTCCTCCGCCGGCCACTGAGTCGGGAGAAGGAAGAAGCTTTCTGTCTCCTGCCACCTTTGCCCTAGATGCCCCAGATCTATAGTAAGAAGAGTAAAGGACTGCAGAGATGGATACTGCCCTTTGCCCCCTAAGCTGGGGAAGGCACCTGACTGGAGGCTGGCCTGGAGGGAGAGGGGCCCAGTCCTTACCCCGTGGACGGCTCTGCTATCTGCGTGTTGGCTGTCGGTGCTGAGGCTGGCCCACATCTGTCTGGGCAGGGTCTTGGCATTCCTCTCGCTCCATGGAAGCCGCCTCCCTACGAGGAAGTAAGAACTACTGTCAGCAGGGATGTGTGATTATCAGAGTTACCTGCTGTGCTGCCAACATTTTCTGAGTGCTTGCTCGGTGCCAGGCCCTGGGCTGGGCTCTTGGAGTGACAAGAGAGAACCAGACAGGCTACTGGGAAATGCCAACAATTACCGTTGGCTGTGCGGAGCCCAGGGCTCCGCTGGGGGTACCTGGCAGCTACAGGACATGGAAGAAGCACTAGACCCAGACTAGTGGGGTGAGAGAAGGCTCCCTGGAAAAGGTGTTGCCTGAGTTCACTCCTGAGGAAGAGAAGAAGCTGGAGAAAGAGCATTCCAGGCATAAGAAACAGCACAAGTTTGCCTGGAAGGGAGAGAACATGACATCTAGACAATGCTGAGTGGTTCAGTCTGACTAGATCTCGGACTGGAGGTGGGAGACGGCTGGACAGGAGCCACAGTGGGGCGAGCTGGGTCCAGGCAAAAACATAGCCCCAGCCCAGACACACGAGTTTGACTCAAACACAAAATCCAACCAGCCCCTATTAGTCAGGGAGCATTTAGTGAGCATCTATTACCTCCCAGGCACTCTGCTCAGAACCATTCACAAGACTCAAAAGGACAAGTCAGCAGGGTGGGGAGAGAAGTGTGATTAGACCACAGTAGGGGTGGGGGCGGGGAGTATCTAAACCACTAGGAGTTGGGATGGTGGCTCAGCCACGGGGAAAGGCCAAAGGATAAGCAGGAGTTAAGAGGAAGGAGGGAGTGCAGGTGGGGAGTGCATGGGCAGACAAAGGGACCTGAATGGCTCTGGGAGGCACTGTGGAGCCTTTTAACCACGTTTACCAGTAAGCATTTCATGCACCTACTCAGTGCTAGGCATCGCGCTGGGAGGAAAGAAGCAGAAGACAGTCCCCAGCCTTGAGGAGAGATAGGTCAATAACCCAGTAAACCCACACAGGGTGACGGCAACTAGCAGTAAAGCACCTAGAACTGTAAAGACCAGAGAGGCCACTAAGCCAGACTCTACCCCCACCCTGTGCTCCTCAAGGATGGGGTCCCCACTCAGGCTGGGCAGCCCAGTCACCTGCCCACGGCACAGCCTGAACCAGAACTCAGGCCTTGGGACTCCTGTCACTGATGCTTCTAGTCCTCCCTCTTCCAGGAAATACACACTGACCACCCCCAACATATTCACCCAGAGCTAAGGCCTCCTTCCTCTGTAATATTTCTATTATTATGCTGGCCACTGTGTCAGTGTTTTCCTGCATGCCTCTCCTCCCAGACTGCAGCTCAGAGGAGGCCAGGGACTGTGTTCTCTAGCATCACTCTTGGTCCAGGCCAGGCACCTACTAAAGAATGGCTCAGTGGATGAATGGACGAATGAATGACTAAAAGATCGAGGGATGGAGAGATGGTGTGCTGGGCTCTAGGGCCCCACACCTATCTCACCTGACTCCTCATAAGGTCTTAGACCATTAACCCGTGCCTCAGTGTCCCCATGTGAAAACCTGGAATCACCTCCACTCTCAGAGGAGAGGTAGCCAGGAACCAGGCTGATCCCTTCCCTCCAGCTCCTACAGGTGAGTTCCAGCCCAAGCCAGGCAGCAACCCAAGACCCAGCAACTTCCCCAAATTCTGACCCAATGGGGCAATCCTCAGGATCCCCCTCTGTCCAGAAAGGCCACTCAAAGTTTGCAGAGGAAACTGGTGGGTGTGCCCGAGGGATGGAGTACAAAAGCACATCACTGAGTTGGGGAGGAGGGCAGTCACAAACATTTCTTGGGCCCCTGCTCTGTACCCTGGAAGGCAGAGGGGCATTAGACCAGAACCCAAAGCACCTCTAAGACTGGGAACACAGGAAGACAGAGGCCAGTCATTCATGCCCCAGCATCTCTCCAGTCCGCCAGCACAAGTCATCTGTCCTTGCCTCCCCTCACAAGCCAGAGGAAGACCTGACCTTCATGAAGTCAATGTCAGTGTGACTGAGCCACGGGCACTGCCCAGTCCCTCTGAACAAACTCCCACTCCCCCATTCCCCCCACAGGAAATGTCACCAACAGCAGACCTCCTCCTCCTGCCTCCAGTCTGTCTGTCTACCGGTCTGTCTGCTCCGAGAGGTTAAAGAAACTCCTAATGGAAAAGGTGGGTGAGGCCCATGGGAGCCTTTCAACTCACCAAATCCCTCCTCCACAATTTAGGCCCAAATTCCCTTTCCCTCACAAGCTCTCTCCCTCCTCATCCTCACACCTCATCCTCAAAAGGCTTCATGGGATAGAGCCGGGGAAGAAGCATGAGGGGAGTGTGGTCAGCCCCACCCTTCCAGCCAAGTCCTAATCAGAAGGGTGTCGGACACCCCCCAACCATCTCTCCTCCTTCCCAAAAAAGGCAGTCCGTAGTTGCATCAGCTGAGCACCAGCCCAATCTTGGTTCACTCCAGTCCAGACCAAGGGGAAAAAACAGTCAACAAAAGAAGCAGAATCATCGTGAACCTCAACCACCCTGGCCATGCTCCTTCAGCCTGGGAATCAACTTTGCTGGAGCTCCAGCCCGGACCTCATCAGATCTGGCTCTCAGGCCCGTACGGATGCACAGGGCATGGGCAGGGCCCGGGGCCTCAGACCCTGAACCGGTCTTCCCGGGAACCCCAGTCCACAGGGGCCCCAAGATCTTAGCCAGGGATCCTGCCCCCAAGTCAGGGCACTGTTCCCGCTCGATCAACAGGAGGGAAGGGTCCAAGGGAAGTGGAGTGGGCCAGGAGCCCAGGAGAAGAGAACCGGGGAAACCATTCAAAACGGAAAAAAAAAAAAAAGCGAGGTTCCAAGGTGGAACCTCTAGGAAGTGGGGAGTGTGTGAGTGTAGGGGTTAGGATCTGGGGGAACCCAGGGGATGACAAGGGGACCTGGGGGAGACCAGGCGGAAACTCCCGGTATGTAGAGCGCAGGGAGGCACTGGGGTGCTTGGGAGGGGGCTCGCGCGCCGCGGCACCGGGAAGAGGGTGGGGCCCCGGAGACCTGGAGTACGGGGGAGCCAGGAGGTAGGCCGAACTGAGCTGCCGCGGGAGGCCCCCAGGGAGCCAGCCGCGGCGGGCAGAGCCCGAGCTGCCCGAGACGCCCGGGACCGGGCAGCTGGCCGGGGGCGTGTAGGAGTGGGTTTCGAGAAGTGACAGCTCGTGCCCCTTTCCCCGCCCCACCCGCTCACCTGGTCCCGCCCGGTCCGGCCGCCCAGCAGGCAGCCCCGCACCCCCGCCGCTCCGTCCCGCCGCCGGCCGCTGCGCCCCTCCGGCGCCTCCTTTTGTTTGTCCCTCACTGCACCACTCAGCCTCCTCCGCCCAGGAAGTGACGTCACCACAGGCGCGAGCGCTGCGGCTAGGGCGTCGCCATCCTTTTGATGGGAGCTCTTCGCGCCTTCACACCCTCAACTCCCAGGTCGCGCCATGTTGGTTTGGGGCGGAAGTAGCGGAGACCGGGCTCGGCCCCCTTAAAGGGACAGGGGCGGCTGTAACCTTCGGGGAGCGCTGGGGGACGAAGCGGTGAAGCCGCCGAGGCGGGGGTGAGTAGCTGGTCCCTGCGCGTTGCTGCCCCGAGGCCGGGTGTCGAGGCCGGAGGACATGGTAACCGGTTCCGAGCTCGTTTGTGCCAGAATACTCGCTGCGTTTGATGCTGCTCGTACGCTGAGTGGCTGCGCCGAAATTTTAACCCAGCCTGGAGCCGCCCGCGGGGATAAATTGCGCGCGCTTGACGCTGACCCGCACTCGAACGCTGGGACCCGCCAGGCTGTCCTCTCTGCACCCACACCCCGCACCCCCGTCCCCCGCGATAGTATCTGTGCGGAGGAAGAAGCCCAAGGTAGCTTGGCCATTTATGGGCAGAGCCGGGGCTGGAACCGGGACACCGCTCAGTGGAGCCTGAGTCCTCGCAATTCCCACACTGACACTAGTAACGGAAACCACGTTAGGAAATAATCCGTACAATGGAATGCTGTGCAGCCGTTAAAACGAAAAATGTTCAATATGCACTAACATGGAACGACTTCCAAAGATACCTTAGATAAAAAAAAAAAAAAAAGGAAGGAGCAAAAGACCCGCGTTGATGGGCGCTACAGTTTGTGGAAAAGAACGTGTGTGAGAGTGTGCGCGTCTGCGGGTGTGCGCACCTCTGTCTGGTAACGTGCACAAGAAGTGGTTAACTGTGGTGGCCTCGGACAGGAGAACTGGAGTCCTGGGTACCCGGGCAAGGGGGGAGAATTTATTTCTTAAATAAGATGATGAAGATATAAGGGCTCGGATCCGTCAAGACTTGAGCCAATGCCTGGGTTCAGCCCTCCTGCTGGAAGGTCTGATTTCCCCCTGTCGTTAGAGGAGGGAATAAGGCTCAGAGATTAGGGATTTTAGTGATATCTCATGGCCAGGAAGGGGAGAAGCTGGAATTTGAGCCCTGGACGGTTTTACACTAATGGCCAGGGTCTCCTTATCCCACTTCCCACTGAGAAGCTTTTTTTTTTATCAACCACATGACACCCAGCGTGGGGTCTGGCACACAGGCTAATCCAAGTTAACTGTTGATTGGCTGTTTACTGACTGAACAGGTCGAACAGACCAGAGACAACGTGATGTGTAGAATGAAGAGAGGAACACTAGAGGCAAGAGCCCAGACTAGAGTCCAAGGCTTGCCCCTTTCCAGCCTGGAGACTGTGAACCTGGCACATCCCTCCCTGAGCCTCCATGTCCCCACCTATGGAACTAACAAGCACGACCACAAGGGCCACGGGTGCCCCCCTCCGTCCTACTTTGGGCTTTACATGCAGATGAGCCCCATTTTACGGATCAGTAAGTGAAGCACAGAGAAATTAAGGTAGTTGCCCAAAGGAGGTCCCTGCAGGGCCTGACTCCCCCACTACCTGAGAGAGATTGCTGGGCTCCTGGGTCTCCCTCCGCCTCCAGGGATCATCCGCACTAATGCTTTGGGAGACCTCCAGTCCTAGTTGAGCTGCCAGAGGCTGAGGATCTGGTAGAGAACAGGACAGACACACAGTTCCTGTCCTTGAAGTCTAGTGAGGGTGACAGACAATCCAGCGGTTAGCATCTCTGATGAGCTCTGTGGTGGGCAGAAGCTCAGGCCTTGGGAGCACAATGGCAGGAGCATCTGGCTCAGCCCGGGTGGCATCAGAGAGGGCTTCTCAAAGTAGGTAACTTTTAATCTGTGTCTGAAAAACGTGTAGGATACCTGGAAGGAGGAATGATGGCGCTGGAGACCCATGCAGAGGTGTGCTCATACCTGAAGGTAACTGACATGATCAGAGACCACGCAGGTACACAGGTTAGAAACGTTCAGTCTAGCATCTGCATGAATCACTCCTTCCTCCTGGAGAATGCCTTCCCATGCCAACATCTGTGGCTTTCCACCCTCCAGCCACACTTAACTTCTGTGCAAATTCCAAAGAGTAGGACTTCTGGATTTTATAATCCAGGTGGGGGCGACAAAGGAACACAGGAAAGTTAACAGCAAGGAGGAACTTCTTAACTGACACGCCCACCTCCCTTCTGGACACCCGCCACCCCCACCCCTGAATACCTTCCCCCTCCAGATTGGCAGCCAACCTGCTAAAGCAGGAACTCTGCCCCTGTGAATCCAGGTGTCAGTACTGGTAGTTCCTGTCTTTCCAGCTGTTTACGCTCACATGGGTTCTCAGGTTGCCAGTGTGTTGGGACATCTAGTTAGTTGGGCATGACCCTTCCCTCCCCCAGTTCTGTAGCCAGTCAAAGTTACTCCTGCTACAGTGAGAGAGGAATCACTGTCAGTACTGTCCCAACAGACGTGGGGCCACATCCCACTCCCAGATTGCGCTGCCAGCTCCTTGGAAAAATGAGCAAATGCTCATGCTACTTCCTCATTCCTGGACGATGGTGTAAGCTTTGGATTTGCTGCTGAGGCCCTTCTGTGCTTTTCTGGGACTTTGACTTCGGGTAAGTCATTTCCCTGCCCTGAGCCTTAGTTCCTGTAAAACAGATGTGACTCTCTTTAATGTTCTTGCCAGGCATTAAGTGTATAAATGTATATATATTTTCCCCCATGTGTAAAACTGCCTTAAAGAGTGAGATTTCAATTTTGGATCTGGATCCTGTGCCAGGAGGAATAAGAAGTGGGCTACCTACTAGGTGTCTCACTCAGGGTCTCCACTCACCAGCCACCACCCCTCTTACCCGGATACCTGCAGTCTGGGCTCCAGAAGTCATTTCTCTCTCCTTTGCCGATTCCAAAGTCAAGGGAAACTAGATGTAAGTCACTGTGCTTACTAGATCTCTCCAGACAAATTCTCGCCTCCCTTGAGGCAGAACAATTGACTCAAGTTTTCACAAAACATTTGTCTTATAGGGACTCTCTGGTTTTAGACTGCAAAAAGAAAGGAAGACGGAAAAAGAGAAAGAAAAATCAGGATTCATTATCTGGCAAGAGACTTTCCTGTATCGGCTTAAATCTTAACAGTTTTTTTTTTTAAAGATCTTTTATTTATTTATTTGAGAGAGAGAACAAGCATAAGCAGAGGGGAGAGGCAGAGGGAGAGGGAGAAGCAGACTCCCCGCTGAGCAGAGAGCCCAACACAGGGCTGATCCCAGGACCCTGAGATCATGGCCTGAGCCAAAGGCAGACGCTCAACTGAGCCACCCAGGCGCCCCGTTTTAACAGCTTCTTATTGACAGGTTCCTGTGGGCCAGGACCTGTTCTGAATGCTTTCTGTGAATGACTGCATTGTTGTTATCCCCTTGGACAGACGAGGAAGCTGAGCCTAGAGAGCTTGCAGCATGGAGCGACCAAGGTCCCATAGCTGGTTCAGAGTGGAGCTCGGGACCATTCTATCCACATCCAAGCTTTCATTTTCTGGGATTGTTCATGTAACAAGCTGGTCTTGCCTGGGCATGGTCCTCCCCTCCCCGGACCCCTTCTCGAGAGGCACTATGGTCTGTGTCTTCTCAGTAACTGGGGGCACCTGACATTTTGAGCGCAGGGCATGCTAAACATCCTTCCAGACACCAGATAGATCTGCTCAGTAGAGAACTGACTCACCCCAAATACCATGTGTGCCCCTTTTGAGAAACATTAAAACCAACTCTCCATATTGCATAGACTTGGCTTAGACGGCATGGGGCTAGTCGGCAAAGCCAAGATTCTCTTGCCTGCCCTTGCAAGCTGCCATATGGGGTGGAAGGGGCATGGCTCCGGTCCCCAAGGGCTGCTGGTCTGCAGGCAGGGGAGCTGATGAAGGCGGCTGCACCCACCTCCTGAAAAAGGGATGTTCGGGGAAAGCCTATGGACTATTGGAAACAGGCGAACCAGGATTTGAATCCCGGCTCAGGCTCTCAGCTGAGTGAGCTTTGTTTGTTCTCCTCTGACCAAGATAGGGATGATAATGCCTTCCTAGTAGGTTGTTTTAAAGACTAGGGAATTTAGCACAGGGGCCAGATGTATAGTAGTTGCCCTCTGAGTTCAGAAGAAGGCCCAGGTGGACACAGAGGCAGAGAGGAGGCAGAGCTGGGACTGGGCCCTGCTAGGGAGATAGGACTGGGAGGCATGCCAGGCAGGGGCATAGACGTCTATCCAAAAGCAAGCAAGGGGTGCCTGGCTGGCTCAGGTGGTAGAACGTGCAACTCTTGATCTCAGGGTGATGATTTCAAGCCCTACGTTGGGCGTGGAGCCTAAAAATAAAAAAGGGGCACCTGCCTGGCTCAATCAGTTAACTCTTGATATCAGCTCAGGTCATGATCTCAGGGTCGTGAGATAGAGCCCCTTGCTGCCCGCACTGCGGTACTTCTCAGACTAATATTGGAGGAATAGCAATAACAATGATGATATCTGTGGAACACTGACTCTTTGCAGGGCACCACGCTAAGTGATTTTCATGTGTCCTCTCATTGACTTCTCATGACAACTCTATGAAGCAGGTGCTAATCATTATTCCGATTCAGAGATGATTCTCAGAAAGCCTTAATAATTTGGGGTGCCTAGGTGGCTCAGTCGGTTAAGCGTCTGCCTTCGGCTCAGGTCATGATCCCAGGGTCCCGGGATCGAGCCCTGCAGCAGGCTCCCCGCTCAGCGGGGAGTCTGCTTCCCCTCTCTCTCTGCCCCTTCCCCAGCTCCTGCTGTCTTTTCTCGATCTCTCTCTCAAATAAATAAAATAAAATCTTTAAAAAAAAAAAAGAAAACTTTAATAATTTGCCTAAAGTCACAAACTAGTAAATGGCTTCAGTCCAATGTCTGTCTGATTGCAGAACGTGACAGCCTCAAAAAAAAAAAGTATTGAAATTTATAAGACCCCAATCCCATCCCAGGGAAAGCCACTATTAATAACTGAGCAGTGTCCCTGGAGAGACAGCCTTATACATAATCAAGCCGTCCTTGCTTTGCACTACAGAATGAGTTTCAGGCACCAAGGTTCGGTTAAGTAACACCAGTCACTCAACAACACCGTTGCGATTCCAGCTGCGGTGTTCTGTTAACTATGAGTAATTGCACAAAGTGCAAACCTTGCTACTTTTTAGTCCACAGATCGCTATGGAAATAGCAGATGTGCTTTGTGATCCGGTGACTAATCACATCACTTCTTTCAAAGCCTGTCAGGGATTGGTCACCGTGCATGCCATTCAGTTCACACAAAGACACCAAAGCTCGGAGTTATGTTGCCTCCTGCCTCCCAGTGATAAACCCATGCGACAGGCTACAAAAATGGATCATCGGAAGAGGGAATTGGCCAACAACGACGAAAGTGCTGCAAAGAAATGCACAGAGCGATAAGACAGAGTGGGAAATTTGCATGGGACGTAAGTGGAGTGTTGAAAGAAAGCACTGGCTGTGGGAATGTGGACAGAGCAGTCCTTTGCTGTTCCAGAAACTCCAGCTACGCAACCAGAGAAACTTAGTGAAGGCAGAGTGACGAACATACATGACGCATGTAGTTCTAACCAAATGGATGAAGGTGTCCCAGAGGAAGGGATGCCAAGCAAAGAGGTCACATCAAAGGAACGCCCAGATATATTTCACAACAGTGAAAGCACAAGGGATGAAGGGTTTGAAGTTGACATAAACTCAGAAAGAAGGATGTTAACTCATCAATGCTGAGAAAAGATGCTCGTTCCATATCCTAAGTTATGCGACTAGAAGGAAGCAAGCAATCACTGTTCACGCTACTCTGGATAATTTCCCCCCAGATTTATTGAGTTATAATCGTCATACATTTACAGTTTACAACGTGTTGAGGGGGCACCTGGGTGGCTCAGTCGGTGAAGCATCCAACTCTTGGTTTCAGCTCAGGTCATGATCTCAGGGCCATGAGATCGAGCCCCGAGGTGGGTTCGCGCTGGGCCTGGAGGCTGCTTAAGATTCTCTCTCCCTCTGCCTCTCCCCTCCCTCTCTAAAAAAAAGAATTTTAAGGTAAAGTGCACAACGTGATGATTTGATATATGTAGACATTGGGAAGTGACTCCCACCATCAAGTTAATTAACATACCCATCACCTTACAGAGTACCTTCTGTGTGTGTGAGAACGTTTAAGATCTACTCTCCTAGCAAATTTATTTTTTTTAAAGATTTTATTTATTTATTTATTTGGCAGAGAGAGAGAGACAGCAAGAGAGGGAACACAAGCAGGGGGAGTGGGAGAAGGAGAAGCACGCTTCCCGCTGAGCAAGGAGCCTAATGCAGGGCTCGATCCCAGGACCCTGGGACCATGACCTGAGCCGAAGGCAGACGCTTAAAGGCTGAGCCACTCAGGCGCCCTCTCCTAGCAAATTTACATTCTACAATACGGTATTATCAACTATAGTCACTATCTCTATGCTAGGTCCTCAGAACTTCATCTTAGAACAAAGTTTGTACCCTTTTATCAACCTCTCCCCATTCCCCTCACCGGGTGGCCCCAGCAACCACCATTCTACTCTGTTTCTAGGAGTTCGACTTTTTTTTTTTTTTAGATCCCAAATATAAACGACACCACACAGTATTTGTCTCTGGCTTATTTCACCGGGCATTACACCCTCCAGATTCATTCATGTTGTAGCAAATGACAGGCTTTCCTTCTTTTTTAAGGCTGAATAACATTCCATTGTATACGTACACAGACCACATTTTCTTTATCCATCCATCCATTGAGGAACATGTAGGATGTTTCCATATCTTGGCCATTGTGAATAATGCTGCAATGAACATGGGAGTAAGATATCTCTTTTTTTATTTTTTAAAGATTTTATTTATTTGACAGAGAGAGACACAGCGAGAGAGGGAACACAGGCAGGGGGAGTGGGAGAGGGAGAAGCAGGCTTCCCGCAGAGCAGGGAGCCCGATGTGGGGCTCGATCCCAGGACCCTGGGATCATGACCTGAGCCAAAGACAGATGCTTAACGACTGAGCCACCCAGGCGCCCCTCCCTTGTTCCTTTTAATGGCTGGACAATATTCCATTGTATGGAACCACAATTTACTCACTCACCCATTGAGGGACATGTAGATTATTCCCACCTCTTGACAATTATGAATAACGTTGCTATGAACATCCGTATACGAGTTTCTGTGTGCACGTGCATTTCATTTCTTTTCAGTATATCCCTAGGAGTGAAATTGCCAGGTTGTAAGGTATGTTTGGACTTCATACAAATTAAAATTCGTGCATCAAAGGACATTATCAAGAATATGATCAAGGTCATTGATTATTTCAATTTTTGTGGATTGGGCGAAATAGAGGTCAACTCCATTCTTTTGTATATGGCTACCCAGCTGTCCTAGCACATTTGTTGAAAAGACTATTTCTTCCTCCATTGAATCATTTTGGCACCCTGGTCAAAATCAGTTGACCAGGGGCACCTGGCTGGCTCAGTCAGT